TGGAGTACTTTATGACATTTCCTCCGGAATGTTTAACCTCTGATTTTTTTTCTTTTTCCTTTTTTTTTTTTTTTTTTTTTTTTTTTTTTTTTTTTTTTGCCTGTTTTTGTAGAGGAGCCATCCATAGAAACGGTGAAAAAACAAGGACAGAACTGTTAATAACGCGGTGCGGAGTGAGACGTCATCCCGGCAGGACGGTGGACTTTAAATTTATTCGTGTTATGCGAGTGTATTCCAGAGGTAAATCACAGCATTACCCGCCACCTTCCCATGCACACCCTGCCGCAGCTTCTGAGGAACCGCTGCTTGTTTAACGGAGATTTATCCAGTGTGTGAACTCTTAATTTGGCTTTTCAGTAAGTTGGCCCCGCCCGGTACCACCACTCCTCATGTTCTCATCTTATTCTGTGTCAAAACAACTTCCACAACACAGGGCTTTTCTACCAAAGTGCATTCATTGCAAAACCAGGGCCTGTATAAAGAATCATACAGTCAGAGTGCTGTAAAAAAGCATTGGTTCCCTAAAGGTGAATTCTGTTTTTTTTTTTTTTTCACATTCACACGTATCCAAGTATGAAGAGAAGAAGCTATACAAACCAACCTGGCCCTAGCCGAAAAAGTAGCTGCCTGTAAAACTAACGACTGGTTGTACCGCCCTTATTCTTGTTCTTGTATTTTTATATGCAGGTTGGCAAACAACTTGAGGTTCATTACTGCCATATTCCAGATTGGGTTATGGATCAGATCTATTATTACTATTATGTTCTTCCCAAAATACCTGCTCCTCTTAAAAAAGTAGAAATGCTGCTAAAAACGACATCCCCATATGACCTTTGAACTAATTCCCTTACTTCTAACTTACTTTTATTCTTATTTAGAATTCTAATAAATAATTCTATTTATTACATTATATAATGTAGTAAATATGCTTTATTTTCACATGCATATTTATTACATTACAAAAATATATGTTCCATTGTTTTCGTTGTCTACAATGAATAGAACAAACTGTAGCATGCTAACTGATTATTGATTGAGAGCTGCCTGCCCATTTCTTTCCCCCTGGTTCGGCAGGTGACCCCCCACACGGCACCGCCCACACCCACCTTTCAGCCACCAGGTGAGCTTAAATAGGCCAATCAGCAGCTGGGCTCAGACAACAGAACAGTCTGTGGTGGAAACATGAACTCTGACCTTAACTGAAGCGAGTGTGCCCTGCAGAGTTTAGGTGTCATTCTGGGATCTTTTCAGGGCTGGTGAAGGTGTCGTCAATGCCCTGTTGAAGTAATGTCGGTAAGCCGGTCCGCTCCTGAAGGTTCGTCACTGTTCCATGTTTTCTCCATTTATGGCTGCCACTGTTCACTTGATTCCCAAAGCTTTAAAATGATTTGGAATCCTTTCTGGTTACTGACGTAAATGACTTTTCATCTGTATTTTTTTAGATATTTTAGATTGGGGTATGATGTGTCGCTTTTAGCCTACTTCATGTTGTCAGACAGATTCTGTTGAAGAGGCTAGTGAAATCCTACCCAATAAAGACTTTAGATTGCACTTTCCCTTAATAAATGTATTGTATTTATTCAAGTTCTACTTTCCTGATATTGACGTCACTTTGTTTTTTTTACTCTTTGCCGCTGCTGTTTTTCCAGGCCGGTTTGGTGAAACCCGCAGTGTGACTGTTAAACGCCACAGAGGTGTACTCCTCGTTAGCTGCTATTTTATAGTTTTCACACCAAATCACACGATACCTGGATAACGGTCCGCAAGCGGTCAGCGGCCGCGACTGATGGAGGAACTTTGGCTCCTAGTAAATACACGTAAACAGCCTTTAGGAGAACGAGTCCCACTGGGCCTGTTTCTCGTCAGGACAGAAGGTGGAAGTGGACCTCTGTACATAAAATTGTGGAGTTGTGGGTTTGAGTCTGGGGGTCACCACTGAACAGGTCAGGCTACACAAACAGAGGGCTTCCTCTACGCACTCCGGACTGAACCGAGAGGCAGCCAGTTTCCTGTTGTTAACACCGACCCCATTAGGTGAGAGAGGTTTTTTTTTTTTCTTTTACGCTATACCCAGGCCACGCAATGCAAACAAGAGTATTTAAAAAGCAATTAAAGGGCGCAGAAATCATGTCTAGTAACACAAGCTTTCTTTTTTTTTTTTTTTTTTCCCTGGAGTCTTTCCCCCATTTTTGAACTGCAGGACACATAGCCGCAACAGATTACAGTCTGGAGGAGTTTACTGGTGTTTTAGAGAGAAACCATCGTGAAGGAATCCTGCTTACATGTGATGATGTTACGAATGTAAGTCTAGTTTATAATCCCATTTTAACAAATCATTTAGTCTTCTGCAAATGAATTCTTAAATTCTTAACCATTTAAATGTTTCTCTACAGCTTCACATTAAAACCACAAACTTTTCAGTGATTTTTTTTTTTGGGGGGGGGGGGGGGGTTTAGGGTTGCCACAGGCTTTTTTTTTCCTAACTTGAATTAATATAGTTATAATTCAAACCATCACATTCTAACCTGGGTGTATGTTTAGATTAATCTTTTTAGAGGCTGGTTGTGTTAGAATGTATTAATAATTGATAAATAATAACTATGAATAGCTGACTGCATTTCATGAGAACTTATTGAAATTAAATGCTGAACAGCTTTTCACCTTCATCTAAATCGAATGGGATAAAACTGCTTATTTGATAAAAACACTTAAACACGGTGTTACCTTGAAGGTTATATTTCTTAAAGGGGCAGTGTTATGTAAAATATATGTTATATCTATTATATATTATACTATTCCTTTGTCCAAAACATACCTGGAGTTTTTGATTGTCATGCATGTTTTGAGAAATCCTTCAATCTCCCGTGGCAACCATGGCAACCGTTCAGCTGAGCAAAACGCCTGAGTGGGACCTAGCCCCGCCTTCTCAGAGCTGCGGTTTCCAAGCTTCCCGCAACTCTCCCACTCAGCTCCATCAGACTAGCCAGCAGCAATTAGCAAACACTTTATGAACTGTACATCTGCTGAGCTCATTATATGAGCTACTCCTCAGTGAAATGCTGGTAGAAGTGTTGTTAAAGGATTAATAGAGGAACCATGTTGTGATGACTTCCTAAGTTTCAGAAAGAGGAGGAGTTTTTAAAGAGACAGAGGCCCAAATTCAAAGTGTTAAATTACAATGTAAAAATATTTTAAGTTATATATATATATATATATATATATATATATATATATATATATATATATATATATATATAATTTATGTAACAACTAAAGTGAACGCAGTGCCATTTTATAGCATAATCCTGGAAACACATAATACTGCACCTTTGAGTCTAGAGGGCCACAAAACCCTTCTGGCGGCCTGGATTTGACCCGTGCGCCTTGAGTGTGACACACGCCCTGCGGCAGATGGGACGTGTGTCAAACTCGTGTTTTTCTCTGTTCAGCCTGTTGAAGCCACGTGAATGACTGAAATTAAAGAATGTTTGCAAACAAAAGTAACATTTGTGCGCCGTACACCTGGAAGTTAAAAGGTTTATAAGGCGTGGGGTATTTATTGCAGCTCCAGTGTACGCAGGTTTTATTACTTTTCAGCTTCTATTGGGAGCAGGGATTTTTTTTTGCTAGCTGTGCAGCAGATGAGCAACACACATCAGCAGACTGGGTTAGCCTAATAAAACCTGAATGTCAGAGTTCAGCCAAAACATCACTGACCAGGGTTGAAAACTGCAAATGGCCCCTGAGGATAAGTCCCAGCAAAAACGGTTAAAACACGGCTGACTGTTTTTTTTTGTTTGTTTTTTTTCCCCTAGATTAAAACCTTGGAAATGTGATTTTATTTCTTTTTTTCTGACAGCTTATTTGACATAATCACTGTGCTATTTTCTGTCTTTAATATGGATGCAGATTATACTTTCAGGCCAGGGGTGTCCAAACTTTCTGTCACATAGGCCAAAATTGTCAAGTCAACAGGATTCAAAGACCAAAAAAAATTGCAAAAATTACAAAACAAAACAAAACAAAAAAAAAAAAACAAGAAATCATAAATGTCCCCAGTGGCACACTTTGGACACCCCTGGTTTAAGTCATACCCAAACACTGTAGTTAATGTTTGGAAATCAGGGTAAAATGAGAGTTAAAAAGGTGAAAGTAACCTTTATTCTTTCAATATTTATGACAACAATGGAGCTCCACAAGGCATGAGGAATACTAACTTGAGGTCAAACTATCAAGCTCTCCCTATCAGAATATGTAAGGAGTCAGAGAGCAGCAGCCCTTCCTCTGCGCCTTGCCCAGCTCTGCTATTCATCATCAGGTGGAGAGACTGTTTACTGCCAGGGTCAAGGTCCCAGGCGCATGTTTACGGTCTCTCTCAGAAGAGCCATTGTTGTTAAAACGCAACTGCAAGCATGCAGCGGCCTCACTGAAGATCATATCTCGCAGGGCCCCTCCGCCCCGGGGGCCAAACTAAGCCCAATTCTCCCAGATTCTTGACTTCCAGCCACAAACGGACATTTAAAACCCATTTAGGGTTTCTGGATAAAGCTCACTTCGAGTTTGATTATCCGTCTCCTGTGGCTGTTTTCCCTCGTCGACTTATTTACTCTCTGTTATTTATGTAAATGTTTCTTTATTTGTTCCTGAATCGGCCCTGAGACATGTTGAATTAAACATAGCGTTTGTATTTCCGTCGCAGATCTTTTGCAAATCAACAACCGGTGAGCTGGGAACAGACCTCTGGTTTTCATTTTTTTCCCCCCCTCCATCTTCAAAGTGGGAGTTTTTTTTTTTTAATCAAAGGCTTAGACTTTTTCGGCATTGAACGTTTTCCATCTTTCTAGATCTCAAGATCTCCGTCCGTCTGCTTGTTTAACTCCCCTGTGAGGTATTGAGGAAAAGGCTTTTCACCACAGGTCCTTTCCTCTTTCTCCTCCACTCCTCTTCTCTCTCCAGCGCTCCAACAACACGTCGCTCCCCGAGCGGGAGCCGCGCGGGCCGGAGCGTCCTGTGTGGTTAGGGCCACAGTGGCATCTGTCATCTGTGGAGCATTAAGAGCAAGAAGCAGATTCAGGTTGTCTCCTTCATGCTGCACAGATTCATACAGTCTGAAGTCAAAGACGATCACGCAACTTCCAAAGCGTCTGAGGAGGGCCGGGACATTCTGTTAAAAGGTTTATTTTACATGAACAGTGGTACAGGAATGCATCCTGCTCACAGCTCACACCTCTCACACCAGCCCTGCCCTGCCCTACAACTCAGCTCCTTCAGACTAGCCAGCAGCAATTAGCAAACACCTGGTGGAACTGTACATCTGCTGAGCTCAGTATACAAGAGGAGCCATGTTGTGATGACTTCCTGAAGGTGGAGTTTCACAAAGAGCAGGACCTTCTTAAAGAGACAGAGGCCCAAATTCAAAGTGTTCATACATATCGAAGTCAAATTTCTTTGAAGTTTTTTGATATATTGAGCTATTTTTATAACAACTGAAGGTAACATGGTTACTTTATTGGGCTATAAAATGGTACCATGTGCCTGGAAAAAACAGCACTGCCCCTTTAACATGTCAGTTTCTGGTCAAAAGCCAAATTATGAAGCATGAATCAGGTGAATTTGATGTCTTCCTTAAAACCGGATTAGGTTATATCCTGAAAACTGTATCATTCTCTCCATTTTCCCTAAAGTGAAGGAGTTTTGGACGGCTACTGGTAGCGACATGCTGTTTGACTTCAACATAATTATATCTGAATATCACAGCAAGCTGA